TAAGTACACAATGGAAACCCAACACTAAGAAATTTTCTAGAACTAATAGCAAATTATGAACTCACTTAGGTAAAACAAAAAGCACATATAGGTAGGCACAAAGATTATAAGCAAACCGAGACCAAATAGTAGACAACACAACACAAAAGAAAACTAGGTTAAACAAGTTATTCAAGGAATTTGCAACATATAAGAACTAAACACAACTTACTAAGACAAAACAAGGATTCAAAAACAAAAATCTAATGCAATGGATGAAGTCCAGTCACGGACACATGCTAAGAAATGAGAGACTCAAACAAATACAAAAAAAAGTACAAGCAAATAGGTCCTAAACATATTGATTGTGGAAAGAAATTCAAAATACAATCAATCAATAGATCTATGGATAGAAAAATTTTCAAAAACAAATAGATCCGAAATGAAACTCAAACAAGACACACAAGAACACAAAGACAACAAGACAAACAGACCAAAAAAATTAAGGACACTTATCTCCAAGAAGAACCTTGCTCTTGATACCAAAATTGATGGCAAATACCAGGAGAAGTGGAAGTTGTTCTCCTCCTCGGATTCACCAATGCTTGGACCTCTTCAATGGAGATTGAAACCGTAGGTAAGAACACTTGAATGGAAGAAGTTTTCGGACTAAGGATTCCTAGACTATGGATGGAAGCATCCAAGCTTAAGGAATCAAAGGAAAGCTCACTTCAAAAGGTAGGAAACCTAGCTAGGGTTCCTAAAAGTGATAGCTCTCTCTTTCGGTGACTTTTGGAAGAAACTTGGCAATGAAATGCTCTCAAATTTCTGAAGTTCAAAAGTGATTACAATGTGTGAAGGAGGGAGCTTATATGGATCCGGAATTAGGGACACTTGGCGCCAATGTGGAGGCTTCACATGTGGCGCCAAGTTTTGAATTCAAATTTTGAATTTGAATTCAAAACTTAACTCACATGTACAAGTCCGGTTCACATTAGTGCTAGGTGTATTTAGGTTTGATTTAGTGTGCATTTAGGGTTGAATTTGAGTCACACATGTTCAATCAAGGTGGCGCCATACATGTGACTCAAAATGCAACTTAAATGCATGCTAAATTAAACCTAGTTTTGCCTAATTCAATTAAACTAATAATCCTCCTTAAATCCTAATCCAATGACCTAAATACAATGGTCAAAGAAAAATAATGAATAGGAAAAATTACAAGAAAAAGAATGAGTCCAATATTGGGTATCAAAAGTCTAAAGCCCATGAAGCCCAATTACAAGCCCAAAGTTCACAAACCCTAATCTATGGTCAAAATACAAGACCAAAAACAAAGTAACTTCCTATTCTATGAATGTACAATAAAACATGGTGTTTAATCAATTAAAGCCCAAGTGAGAAGCACCCTAGGCCCACCAAGCCCATTGGGCCCACTAAGCTCTGAAGCAGACAAGTCTTCAAGTAATCTCCTGGCCATAGCTCTAGTGGTTGGACCCTTGGTCCATGCTCTTCTATCACAACTTAGCTTCACTATATGAAGCCATTGAAAGTACAAGTCTAGCTGATCAACGTCTATAGGAAGAAACAAGAGCTAAGTTGACTACCCTCCAAGATTAACTAGTTGTAATTTAGTGAGGGATTTTCTAACTCCAATCTATATTAACTTCAACCATTCTTCATTTTATTGAAAAAAAATGTAAAAAGGTTGAGCTCTATCAATAGACCTTGAAGTTAAATGGAGAGATTGACATGTTGTTAGAGTAGAAACAATTGTTGCTAACCACTTTTAGGACAACAAATAAAGGCATAACTCATATCGACATTGAACCGACTATTTATCAACAAATGCTAATCTTAGCCCAAGTACCATCAACTGCTCCAACAACTTCTACTACTTCTCAACTAGAATGAAAGATTGAGGCAACCTCAATAGATACTTTAGCTCTAGAATCTTTAGTAACCTATCCTTTTTTTTCTTTTCTCTTTTGAATTGAATAAATGATTTTTTTTTCTTTTCTCTTATGTTATAAGCAATGTTTTAAAAATAAGATTGATCATTAAATCGCTTAGGGTACTAAATTAGTGAGTTAGAAGTCAAACCGGTAGGTCACTAATTGAATTGCATGACCCGATTTTTATCAAGTTTTATAAAAAAATATTCATGGCATATATATTATATACATATAAATTTCAATAAAATGCATACTATATCTTAAAAAAAATCCCTAAAAAATATAGTCAATATAATATTAACAAAGTAACTAAATTATAGACAGATTAAAAATATAAATATGAAATTATTTATATAAATTTAAATTAAAAAATATACTAAATAAATTATTTAAGTTAATAGTATAACAACATAATATGCTAATTTAGTGATCTTTTAAATTATGTAAGTAGTTTAATTTTATAAATATATATATATATATATATATATATATATATATATATATATTTGCTCAAACTCATAACCTTCGCCCACGGTCACGAGTTCAAAATAAGGGCTTGTACAAGTATATATATATATATATATATATATAATATGTAAAGTATGTTCACAAATCACATGAACTTTAGTGGTGGAGTATGCTTTTAATTAATGTCATGGACAAGGTTTAACTTTGGTTGGTGTCACATTTTGGTTGATTATCTTTTTTATTTAATCAACAAATTGGCGCATCGATCCATGCAATTAGCACGCGGGCCAATGGAAGTTGTTTATAAGCATCTCTATTTTTTTACAATTCATACTACACTTTTTGACACTTCACATTACACTTTATGATAAATTTTTATAAATTAATTATTATGGATAATATATAAATATGAATAACAAACAAAAAAAATATATAATAAAAAAATTACAATAATAAAAGAAATTACATAAAAAGAATTACTAAAAATTACAACAAATTAAATTCAATTACAATAAAACTAGTCTAATTTGCGTAAATTAAAATTACAATAATATTTATTCTCCTAAAGTGTGAACATCAATTTATACACACACCACCAATGGCTCTCCCAACGGCTCTCTCGTCTATCAATGGTTCAAGCCAACGTTTTTTTTTCTTTCTTTCAAGTCTCCTCTCTCACTTTCTCTCACTTTCTCCTTCTTTCTTTCTTTTAACCGGTAGGGGGTTCTGCCCAACTGAGGGGTTCGGTAGGGGGTTTCGCGCGCGCGACGGAGGGGTCTGGTCGGGGGTTGCACGCGCGCGGCTGGGGGTTTCGATCGGGGGGTTCTACGTGCGTGGCTGAGGGGTCTGGTCAGGGGTTTCACGTGCGCGACTGAGGGGTCTGGTCAGTGGCTCTGCGCGCAGCTAAGGGGTTCGGTGGGGGGCTTCCGTGCTCGCAGTTGAGGGGTCTGGTCGGGGGTTGCGTGCGCGCGATTGGGGGGTCTGGTCGGTCAAGGGGTTTTGCACGCGACTGAGGGGGTTCCGCGCGGCTGACGAGGTTAGTCAGGGGTTTCGCATGGTGGAGGATTTTGGAGATGCGTGCGCACTGCGAATGATTTCTGCCACCACCATCGTGCGGGTGGCCACATATGCTCTAAGCACCATTGCTTCTACAAGCAACAAAGAAAAAATTTTTAGAACTTAGGCTGCCACGTATGTTTACTCCAATGGGGATTTCTTGTAAGCACCATTGTTTACAAGTAAGATACACAACAAGCACTCCCCACTAGAGGTGCTCTTAGGCCATGCTAATTGTAGACTTGAAGTAGCAGTCTTGGAACGCCTGAGTTGAACTGACAGGTCTTAATTGAGTTTTAAAACTATGGTTATAAACATACTAAATAAAAGAATAAAACTTGAAATTAACACACACACACACACACATACACACACACACACACACATATATATATATATATAGGGAGCATATCAAGTGAAAGGAAATTTATTATGAGAGATGAGAGGGTTAAAATATAACCCTTAAATTAATCAAGTAAGAGAAAATTTAAGGTTTAATCAAGTGAGAGGAAATTAATCTAAAGGTTATATTTTATCTCTCTTATCTCTCATAATAAATTTCCTTTCACTTGATATGCTCCCTATATATATATATATGTATATATATTATTTTATCTATCTTATTTCTTCATTTTTTTTCTCCTTTTCCGAACATAGTAAATGTGGGCATATATATATTAAAATATAACTAGAGAAAACTCATTTCAAGAACAATAAATTATGTTTAGAAAATAATAATAAAATAGAAATTAAGTTTGTTTAGATAATTTTTTTATAAGTACTTATAAGAAAAGATAGAAAAAAAAATCGAAATTAATTTCTCTATAAATTTAAACTAACTTATGCATAAGTTAAAAATATCTTATTAAAAAGAAAAGTGAAAACAATTTTTTTTTAAGAAGTTAGTAAGAATTTTTTTTTTACAGTATTAATTAATTTTAACTTGTGAAAAATCTTTTTTAATTTTTCCTTCCTATTGTTCTCTTTTATAAATATTTTTTAAAAAATTTTACACACACGTATTAATATAGACCAAACTATCAAAGTATTATCTAGGTTTGATTTTTATAATATTAATTATAAGCATACTAAATTAAAATATATATATAT